TAAATCGACAGGGGGCAGCATCGACGCCTAGTCAAAGCGACCTCCAAAAAGTAAAAAAAAAACAGTTTTTTAACAGCGGTCGTAACTCGGCAGCGTATGATTCGATCTATTCATTTTAAAATTACATAGAATAGTACATAAACAACGAGGGCACCTGCACTAATACGCATACAATTTATCGAAAATCTGGCTTTATCGTTCTACTGATTTCACACTTTTTAAATTTTAATATTGGAATTTTTATCGTTATATTTGGATGTGTTATACTACATAATTTATGCTAATGACTTATGCACGTGGTTTCACTTTTCTTTTAATATTGTGTTCAGGCCTTTTTTATTGGACTTATCACTTGTTTTCGTATACNTTCGATCTGTTCATTTTAAAATTACATAGAATAGTACATAAACAACGAGGGCACCTGCACTAATACGCATACAATTTATCGAAAATCTGGCTTTATCGGTTCTACTGTTTTCACACTTTTTAAATTTTAATATTGGAATTTTTATCGTTATATTTGAATGGGTTATACTACATAATTTATGCTAATGACTTATGCACGTGGTTTCACTTTTCTTTTAATATTGTGTTCAGGCCTTTTTTATTGGACTTATCACTTGTTTTCGTATACCCATCTTTTTTGGGTTTTCAAATTATTCCCCCAAACTACTACTAAAACTAAGTTACTCTTACTAAGGCTGGCATTGTTGCGACTGCTGTCAATTGACATTTTTTTGGGCAAACAAAAGAGCCCGGCCAGCCGTCAGTCGTAGCTACAAGTCGCCAGCCAGTCTCATAGCTGCCCATTGGGAAAGCCAAGCAGCGATTTGCATCTGTAATTAAGCGACTTAAAGGGCTTAGTTTAAAATTTGAATGGAGCTACTTGGATATGCATACACTTACTTAGTGGCGGACTTAGCATTTCTGTTTGCAAGTACGACGCAATTGGCCATCGCCTTTTGTTCGAAAATTCGGAGCAGCATCTTTAAAGGGCTCTTCATGGTAACCACCATTCACAATGCCTTTGTAGTTGTTCTTGCTTTTCGCAGCCGTTTAATGTCAGACTAAATTTGCATGTCTTACAAAATGTTTAAGCGATGCTGCTAATTTTAAATTAGAGCATTTGCATTATGATGGATTTGTTTGGCTGAAATGACAGTGGCTCCGGGAAAAAAAAAACACTAAAACTACAACAAAAACTACTGCTGTCGGCAATTCCCGGGCGTTTGTTTGTATGTAAATATGTATGGGTGTGCGAATAACTAGCACGCATGGTAACCGGTTCCNCACTAAAACTACAACAAAAACTACTGCTGTCGGCAATTCCCGGGCGTTTGTTTGTAAGTAAATATGTATGGGTGTGCGAATAACTAGCACGCATGGTAACCGGTTCCGGTGACAAAACGTGTGAATGTCATTAACCAGCCAGTGGAGCTATGCTATACATATGTATGTACATATTTATGTCTGCCAGTACATAAAGCACTAGGTGATTAAATGCTGCTGTTGATGTGATTATCTCCAAAAAGAAATAGAAAAGCAAAAAAAAAAAACGAGCGCAAAAAATATTTCTTAAAAAACAGTCGGCAAATAAGTGGTTAACAATTTAATTTGCGTTTAATTGCAAGCGTTTAGTTGTTTGTGATTTAATGAAACTGACCTATAGCCTTTTGACAAAACAGCACTAAAATCGTAATTCAAATTAAATAAAGTACCATTGTAAGCTAAAACTACTATATGAATTTTAAAATTTTTTGTTTTTGTATTTCCTTTTTTTAGTTATGATTGTGCTTGGGGCGATTTTTTTTTTATTTATTTTTTTTAATTTTAACAAAATTTAAGTATTGGAAATATGTACTTGAAAAATTGTGAAAAGGTGGCGAAATCGTAAAAAATCCATAAATTTATATGAGCATATGAGCAAATAATACGAGTTGTTGCATTTTTGGACAAATACCATTTAAACCTAAGCACAAAATTTTATAGAATACTGAAAATTCATCAAAATTTCAAACTTTTTTCTCAGAAGTGACTTCATTCTATTTTATTGTAACAAGTTGCAAGTGGCAAAAAATTACCGTTGATTTTTTAGAATTCTTTCGCCGAAGGTGCTGCGCTTCTCTTCACATAAAAATAAATTGTGTTTATTCGTNCGCTGAAGGTGCTGCGCTTCTCTTCACATAAAAATAAATTGTGTTTATTCGTTATATGGAAGCAAATGCGACGAAAAATTTTAAAAAATCAACTTTAATTTTTAGCTGCTTGAAACTTGCATGATGTTACACTGACGGTGGCAATTAATATCGATTGTGTACCGCTGCCACTGAATTTTAAAATATGTAAATATTTTAAAAATTTTAAAAGAGCACTTACAAGGGGAAAATTATAAGTAAAGTGGTAAATGGGGAACGAAAAATNCTAAAAAATCAACTTTAATTTTTAGCTGCTTGAAACTTGCATGATGTTACACTGACGGTGGCAAAGAATATCGATCGCTGCCACTGAATTTTAAAATATGTAAATATTTTAAAAATTTTAAAAGAGCACTTACAAGGGGAAAATTATAAGTAAAGTGGTAAATGGGGAACGAAAAATTTAGGTACTTAGGCGAATTGGGTAAATAAGCGGGGAGGTACTTAAGAGGGGGATTTTCTTCAGATTACATTAAAAAACTCATGGCGCCCAAAAATGTTGGTTACTTAAGCGGGTGGGTACTTAAGCGGGTTTCACTGTAGTTGCATTCACGTGCCTGTTAAATATTGAAAAAATATCAGCTTTTTGCGATCGCGTACGCCAAAAACTTCCAATGTAGGGGAATTTGAGAGAGCAAAGTGACATTTCATTTTGAGAGGAAGCTGTTAGTTTCTGCTGGAAAAATTTTTCCCAACAGCAATTTGCCAACAAGAAAACAGCTGATCGAAAACAGCTGGTTAGAATTTAGGCAAATCCCTAACTTGAATTTGATGGTTTGGAAGTTAAAATAGTAAAATGCGACTAATTAAACTTGTAAGAAGGAAGTAATTATTCGTTTAGTCAGTGAACTGTGTCAGGATAAGACTTCGGGACTTGTTTTCTTACGTTGTCAATTTTATACTTTTGAATGTAAACAAAATTTCTAAAAGCTCTTCGTCTAACTTGCAAGTTTCTGCAAATTTTCTGTTCGCGTACTATTTTGTATATATTTGTCTTATGGGAGAACAGATGACATTTCGCCAGAATGCTGTTGGACATTTTTTACTAACCAACATTTAACAGAACGGCTTTAACTGACGTAAAACCAGATTTTGAAAATTTGGCCAAGAGACCTTTTGAATTTTCTTTAATATCTATCTCACGTACATTAGAATAATAATAAAGTTAATGTTTTTCATTNAGCACTTACAAGGGGAAAATTATAAGTAAAGTGGTAAATGGGGAACGAAAAATTTAGGTACTTAGGCGAATTGGGTAAATAAGCGGGGAGGTACTTAAGAGAGGGATTTTCTTCAGATTACATTAAAAAACTCATGGCGCCCAAAAATGTTGGTTACTTAAGCGGGTGGGTACTTAAGCGGGTTTCACTGTAGTTGCATTCACGTGCCTGTTAAATATTGAAAAAATATCAGCTTTTTGCGATCGCGTACGCCAAAAACTTCCAATGTAGGGGAATTTGAGAGAGCAAAGTGACATTTCATTTTGAGAGGAAGCTGTTAGTTTCTGCTGGAAAAATTTTTCCCAACAGCAATTTGCCAACAAGAAAACAGCTGATCGAAAACAGCTGGTTAGAATTTAGGCAAATCCCTAACTTGAATTTGATGGTTTGGAAGTTAAAATAGTAAAATGCGACTAATTAAACTTGTAAGAAGGAAGTAATTATTCGTTTAGTCAGTGAACTGTGTCAGGATAAGACTTCGGGACTTGTTTTCTTACGTTGTCAATTTTATACTTTTGAATGTAAACAAAATTTCTAAAAGCTCTTCGTCTAACTTGCAAGTTTCTGCAAATTTTCTGTTCGCGTACTATTTTGTATATATTTGTCTTATGGGAGAACAGATGACATTTCGCCAGAATGCTGTTGGACATTTTTTACTAACCAACATTTAACAGAACGGCTTTAACTGACGTAAAACCAGATTTTGAAAATTTGGCCAAGAGACCTTTTGAATTTTCTTTAATATCTATCTCACGTACATTAGAATAATAATAAAGTTAATGTTTTTCATTTCTAATAATAATTTTATGTAAATTTTTTTTTTCGTGTGGCTCGTTGTAGCATTTAGAATTTACATGTGGCTCTCTTCGGCCTCGGCCTTGCCCACCCTTGTTATATGTTATTGTAAGTTTACATCTGTTAAAGAATGAACCTGCATACAACTTTTTTTTTGAAAATACATAGACGATATGAGTTGGATAGCGGTCAATGATTAATGATAATAACAGATTGGCGCTTACACAATATGTTAGTGTTTGGCTGAGCTTTTGGCGCACTGCCAACTACTACACCACAGCTGTCAATGATTACATATTCTTATTTAAAATTTTTTTTTGCGATAAAATAGCTAATTACTCCATTTTTTTCTTTATTTTTTAGGTTGTCTGATTTAGAATTATATACAATACCGCAACGCAGAACATCTGATAGACTTGAACGAATCGCCCAAGCGCGACAACTGGAAGTGTCTAATAAGCCGTATCGAAGTAAAATATGTGAGACAACGCGTTGGAAAAACTTCTGCAACCTTTATTAGCGAGGCGTAAGAACAACATACTAAGCCAACAAAAAAAAAAAAAAAAAAAAAAAAATACGGTTAACCGCATATAAACTAAGCAACAGCATTAAGATTGTAATTGTCAACCCGACTTGTACGTACATAATTACCTCAAACCATAAACCACAAGTGCAGCTAACATTTAACCGCTAATAACATAAACAACTGTTAACGGTAGTTTATTGTTGTAGTAATTGACTAGCGTTACACACACACACACACACACATTGGAGTACTCATGTTCTTGCAACGGTGGCAAATGACAGTCAGCGCGTTACAGCTGCCGCTGGTCTTGTCACTGTTGCTCATGTGTCACGGTGCCTGGACAAAGAGAACGACAAACGAAGCTACAGCCAAAGCTGCCAATGCAGCAGATGGTTTAAAAGTCGCCGCGTCGCCAACACGAGTACCCTTGGTAGCTGTACCACTGGTTTCGTCATCGGAAGCCACACTTCTAACAACACGTCGCCTGTTTCCGCCATCAACGTCCTCATTTACGCCGCGACGCCAAGAACGCGCACGACACCGCTATGATGAAGAAGTAGCGGATGTGGAGGTGGCGCCGCCCCCACAAGTGGCCACTTCTGCTGACGCCAAAGCGACTAAAAGTGGCCGCAATCTAGGCAACTTGCCGAAGAAGCGCTACAAAGTGCTCGCGGTGCATACAAATTGTACGCGCGACCTTTTCTCGATGCGCATCGATTTGAATCGCGATTTCCGTGGCCTTGTCTATGCCAAGGACTTTCCGTTGGAGTGCAGCGCACGCGGCAACGCGCAACAAAATGTCACACTGCGTTTGCCCACATCCGGTTGTGGTGTACGCGCTGAGCCGCGCGCTGATGGCGTGATGGAGCTTTCGGTGCGCGTGATGCTGCAAATGGAGCAGAAATTGCGGCAGAGTTCGGATATCTTGCGTACAGTGCGTTGCAAGTTGCCGCCAACGGCAATGGGCATGATGGTGGGACCTGCAGCGGGCATGGTGGGCAAGCGGGCGAGACTCAAAGCGGGTGGTCAACAGCGAAAAGTTGCGCAGAATTACAGGTAAGTGGGAGTTACACGCGATGTGGGCTACGCGGAGCTAAAACCGAACTGATTGTTTCGGTTTTCTTTCTACCCAGAAACGGGCGAATGCGCACGCTTATTGCGTCACTAAGCAAGGGTGATAAAAATGACGCTACGACAGCTAACAATGAAGATTTCACCGATGCGCCACAAACGGATGTGCCTGCTGTTGATTTGAAAGAACACCAGCAACAGCAGCAACAACCAGTAGAAGAAAAAGGCCAACAAGAACCGGAAATAAGCGCGACCTCCAAAACTCCTGAGTCAACAGCAACTGCAGCAGTGCCCACGAATGGCGCTACTGAAAGCGGCGATGGCGGTGATGACGCTGCCGATAGCAATGCCAGCGATGGCGTTCGTGGCGCTTCAACCAGCACAGCCAGCAACAGTGCCACTCCGCGCGTGCGCATTTGGCTCGAGCTGGGCGGCCTTGATGGTTCCGGCGCGGTGGAAGTGGGCCAAGCCACAATGTTAACTGTACGCGCCATAGTACCAGGTTCGATGGGTGTGCGCGTAGTGGACTGCGCGGCGCTCGATGGACTGGGCGATTCGAAACAACAGTTGCTGGACGAGCGTGGCTGCACAGTTGATGAACAGGTAAGTGGGTGTTGGTAGTGTGTGTAGCTTAATAAAATATTTAAGTTAATGGAAAATTTTAGTTGCTCAACGATTGCAAAGTTAACCGAGGCTAAATCGAGTTTTATAATTCTTGTGCTCAGCAGCTTTTCGATATACGTATGTATGCATGTATGTATGTATACGTGAGCCATCAACTCTTTTTGGTCACATTACCGTCTGAGAAATGCACAATAATTTTGTTTATTTTTTCAACTGTGAGAAAATCAATGACCTCGAGTTCGTTTAATTAAATAAATTAATG